TTGGATTGGAAGTATATGCATCCCAGCAACGATGAGTGTTTACTTCTTGTAGCAGTAAACAGCATATGACCGTTGGATTTTAAAGTAAATATCTTCACAATGAATTTGACGTGTTCAGTTCACTTTGTTCCCACATAATCTCAATTCGATAAAACGTCCGACAGAATTCACTATTTTGTCATGTTATTACAGTATCAAACATCGTCGTTTGTTTTTTTCGTATTCCAACTCTACTCCCTCATATATATCCATTCTCATCAGTCTTACGTATTAACATGGCTTTCTAATCAAAGTATTCGTCTTACAATCTGAATGGAGATGGTTGCTCTCAAAACTTCATCAACAACGAGTCATCGGAACGACCGCATTAATGATATATTGCTACAGCTCATTTTCCTTAATAATCAACATAATTGTAATTCGGGAAATTATTAAGAAAATCATCAAAACTCAATCGTAATTACAAATATGTTTATTAATCATTATACACCTAACCTATATATTTATTAACATGTAAACAATATTATCAATAATCCTTTAATAGTCATATTGAATAAAGTTACAGTTCACTGCATAGATATCCAAACACGTTGATTTCTAATGGTAGAATTGTATTCTTCTTTCATGTACGCCCATCCTGCAAATGAAAACCACCAATGGATTACATGTTAGGATCAATAATGTAAGCGTCCATTGCATGTGAAGTGAACTACTCTTATGAACGAACGCGACTGGTTTCACAGAAACATTCATTATTATAAACAAATGTACCAGCGATTGTTTTGCTATACCTTTTTGTTTAATTGTACCAAAAACCAGAACACTCCGTCGTTTGTGACCTTCACCTTTGCTCACATACGCACGGCAGTCTCGCCTGTATACATTGACACGATCTCGGTATTGTTTCGATACCACGAGATCGCGAACAAATATACTTACTTATCCGGATCCTATGTTCTTCCTTGTTTCGGTTTTACGGAGGGATGAAACCTTATAATTGGTAGGAAATATACCTGAAGTGGTGTCCATAGTCAACCGCGGCTCGTCCAATTACATATGCGAGATAACACCATAATTTAGTTATCCGATCAGAATTCCAAGGCTAATATTTCTTATCTTTCCATTGTTGAACTGAATGATCACAGGCAATCAGTCTGTACTTTCCCATGTGCATGCAGCACAGTTTCGAGTCGGAACAGATTGACTGATCGTAACCTTGTTCAAAAGTTTATAAATTCGGATTGTGGCTGCCAGTTGGATCCAGAAAAACTGTTTCGTTCTTTTAAGGATGCAAATAAACCCCAGTCAAAAAATGCAACATTACCAAACTAACATCTGTGTAGGCTCATTTTTGAACTTTCCATAATGGCGAATGAAAATAGAGTGATTGTGACTGCGGCTCAAAGTTGTTCAGATTGCTAGCGAATTCTTTGTTTTGTCTGCAGTGAATTATTGGCTGCAGTACAATCCTAACCTATCATTTAGTACAGTACAATTTCAAAAATGCAACCACTACAGTGATTGTTGCTGAAAGCCTTTTGCCTAATTGTTACGAAAATCCAGTCATATATAGTGACGAACACTTTTTGAATGAACATATTGATTAGAACAGGTTTTGCTTCGAGTCACGATTAGATTCTACATGTTTCAAAGACCAAAACGTGAAATTGTGCTGTACTCTTATTGTCAATCATATCACATAATATTCTTACTCTGCAAACAATGCGTGGATCAGGACAGATTGCTTCTCCTTGAATTTGTCGCGTATTAATTTTGGCTACACCTGAATCACATCGAAACGATTGACCGTTCACGACGATTTGGCCACCACCAAAACATGAGTACTGAAAACAAACATCGAATTCATTAGTGTACAAAGCGGATTATCGAGTGGTCACAGAAATAAGGAGGTTTACCAAGACGAATGCATAAAGAATATCACTAACTAATGAAGACCGTCTGTTTGAGCACATCACCAAGTAGTGTAGATGGCCATTTTCTTACATCTTAAATTTTAATCTATGCAAGCTGGAATACGCAGCATCTTGTAAGATTTATATACCGGTAGAAACATTCACCGCTGTATACATATATATATGCAATAACACTGACGAAGACAGAAGAACGTCTTTCGATACAGGCGTGGGATGTTCACTTGACTGATCGTCATGAAGTGCTTGCTATCGTCGATGGTCAAGTGTGGTTTGTGTCTAAAATGTATGAAACAAATTTCACGAAGTGATAGTGAACATATACAAACGAAGTATAAGTATTAACCACAGGTTCTTCCAAATTTACTCGGCTGATATTTAATACATAATTATAATCCACGTGCATCTTAATGTGTGTTATGTGACGGGAGTTTTCAAAAAGTTAGTGATAAGATATTTCTTCCAGGTTACCTGATGGCAAGTTGCCTTGACTCGAGGATCTTGTGTTGTTTTCCCACTCATTTCTGCTCTCCAAGCTCCCTTATGAGTAATGCACAGTGAATCATTCCCGAAATCCTGACCAAACATGTTTCCTCTTCGCGCTGACATTAACAGAAAAAGAGTAAACGGTAATTGTCACGATTATTATTATTATTATTATTATTATTAATATTATTATGGTGTATAATACTGCAGCATATGATATTACCTCGTAAATATAATAAATTAGCATTTACATAAGATATTGATTGCGTTACAATTTCAGTAATTTATCAGACGTTGTGGTGTGAATACTGAAGTTGCGACGACTTCACTGATAATATTATTTATAAAGTGATCAAAAATAATTCCGAGGCAGTTACATTACATTAGATGGATTCTGGAAACACTAGTTAACTGTAAACACCCGAATTAATAGCATGACGATGTTGAGGTAGTCTACAGGATTCGGACAAATTCAAGAAGGTGTAATCATGTTGAAGTACTTGAAAAACAAAACACTCAACCTTCTACGGGGAGAAGATAAAATTTTGAATGCAGAATAACTACATTTTATCATATTATTTACCATGCGCTTGACGCAATAGAAAATCAGATATTTTCTGATTGACAATACACATTCCTCCAAACTTGTTGTGTGCATATTTAATCCCCTTAAGGCTTCACTTGATACCTCAAACTGATGAATCAAAAAATCAGTTATCGCGCTCCATTCACACAATTATCCAAAGTTAGGTTGATTATTATCACTACATGAACACCTTCACACAAGTTACACGATGTTCTATTGTCATTGTTTACACCATGTGACCAGATAATGAATCTATTTATTTGCACCTTCACGATGATTCATTCATTTCACTGTTTGATGGAACTTAATCTTCAGAGTCTAAGTAAATTTATACTTATTCAAAATGTGTCATTGTATTTTGAGGCGTCACAACAAACCTCTGACCTGGGTGATACTGTTCACGATTTAGCACTTTTCAAAATAGCCAACATATCATATTTGGCAAACAAGTACAATTCAACGCTGCAGATACCTGTAACTATTTCCGATCTAACAAATTAGTCGCCTCATTTCAATGCATCAATTTCAGTCATCAATTATGATGACTGTTTTCATAATTGATGTTCAGCTGAGTATATGTATGAAATCAAACCATAAAACAATTCATTCACTGCAGTTATATTTTCCAATAAATCTCATATTCGTCATTTTGTTTAAACCTGACTACAACCCCGTGCGATCTGTTACCTCAATCAAATTGAGCGTTTTTATTCTTTTATTTATATTTCAGTATTGATTGACACTGACTTCAAGAAGACTTGGTTCGAAGACTTCCTCATGTATGAATGAGCTGATATTGCTACGTCAACGGGTGACAACAACGAAAATTTGTGGTTGAAAATTATGCACTTCAATACACATGTATCACTAAGGAAGAGTACACTTACCAATCGGAATATTTTGACTGTAGTCACAATAGGTTACGAGTGATTCCTGGAAGAATTTCTGCATCGGCTGTGTTGAAAAGATCATTGGAAATCAGTGAAGTTAATACTATGTCAACACTAAGTGTAAATGATTGAATGAAAGTGATGAGTTGATTATTTTATTGAGGTTGATTGAGGCGAGAAATGATAATTGTGTACAAAAATTGCCCATCTACATCGTTAGTGCATTATTTCGTGAAAACAAGCTACGTTGAGTGCAGAGAGTGTTCACGCTCGTTTCAATTATTTCTTCTGTAACCAAGATTTCCCTGAATCGTAATTGTTTCTGTAGTCCTGTAGTCTGATCCGAATCAAAATATCATTCTTTATGCAAAACAGAAGCGTGCATGTCTGTTTGATTACTCATTTATTAATTTGTCAGTCTAACGCATTCAAACATTCTGAAGAATTCACGCGAACTCGTATTTCCTTACCGTTTGCTTTATTCAACTTCCATTTATCATCTCTATAGATGGACGGACCTGTTATGTGTTTCCAATATAGTAATATGAAAGTTACAAGTGTTTATCAACAGTTGTCCACACAAAATGCCGATTATTCGTTGAACAGACAACATGGGCAACAACCTTTTGTGAGATAGAACAAACACGACTCTAGCACAATAGGAAATTAGGAAAAAACACTGGAGGGTTTCAGGTCACATATTGAGTGAACCTCCCAACTAAACCACCAGGCAAGCCCTAACCCTTAATTCTTAAACCATAAAGAAAAGAGGAAAACAGAAGAACACTTTACTCTTAGAATCTGAAACAGACGTGAAAAGACTAAACAGCAATCCTGTAAAACTGAAAAGGAACGCGCGGGACGCAGTATGTTGGCGAATGCTGGTCAACGACCTATGCTCCACGAGGCACAGTAGGCGTTAGCTAGTAAATATCAACCTGGTCAGCTGCAGTGATTTTCGTGTAAACACTTTCTCAACCACTCCGAACACAAGTAAGATGGACTAAACATTACACTGATACTACGTACGATAGAATGCTTCAAACAATTTTCCACTAAATGAATGCAATATATTTGTTTTGAAAACACGGTTGGTAAGTCACTAACCTGAATGATAGGACATTTATCCATCAATGAACCAGTACCACCTACATTAGGTGCACCTTTGAAATATTGTTCATGTGGTGGTAAATGTCCCGTATAATGTCCTATAGCACAAACCCCATACGCCTTCTGATGATAACACTTCAAACTGTCTTGTTCTTCACAGTACGGTTCCACGTTCTTTCTCCTGAAATGCAATAGAAATGATCGCTAAGTAAAACGCGTTAGAGTTATAGTCTTCCACTGCTTGTAGTGAAGTAATGATTTCAGTAGTAGTAATGAAATTATATCCGTGTGAATAATATTAATAACGATGATAACGACAACAAAGAATATATCATTTTTGATAGCTGATAAGCTGACACAAGAATCAGAGCTCACGTTATCTCTAACTACGCAAAACATTCTAGAACATTGGTTGAAGTCCGATTGTCACGTTTCCGCCAGTAAAATACTGCGGCCATATTTCCCACTGTAAATTGCAGTGGTTACCATCAAAAGTATCATCCGTGTACCACGGATTTCACAAATTCTTCACAGTAACTGTTAGTTATTTCGATGCCTAATTGAAGTTATGCTATAAATAACCAATCAAATTGTAGTTTAAGCGTTCGTCACGTGATCTGTTCTGACATGCCCGTAAACTATCGTTGTTGTAAATGACCTAGTAATTGAAGGAAATTATTATCACATTATACTGATGTGACTCATAAATCTATTCAGTTCCATAGGACACGCTATATTGGTCAACATGTTCACTCGCTTCACTTGGTAACTTTCATTTTATTATTTAATGTACTAATCTAATTGTTTTTATGCTTAGAAACAAAAAAAGTTTAAAACTCAATTGGTCTTGTTTGAACTATAGCTTTCCCACAGACTCTGTGCTCGACAATATTGCGTTTACAGTAAAAGAAGTACATCAGTAAGACTAATTATTTCCTACAGCAACTCTTACCAGAGAAGAAAGTGATAAGCAGATTGCATAAACCTTACCCTAGTTTCATTTTCATCATGTATGCGTAACAGCTTTCCATGACAAACGAACAACCCAGATTCTTTCCATAATACCATGGTTCAGCAGCTGCATAATTCACATCCCACCAGCTATTGTTGAAAGGAGAAAGTAATAAATAATCACTGGCAAAAGGAAATACTATTAAACAGATACTTAAGTAGCTTAATAGTCGTAAGTTACAATGGTCAGTTAGGTGAACTGATTTTTACTGCGACATCCCCACAAAAATTAGCTTTTTCAAAAGGTTTTGACTTGAATCATTGACTATCGATTCTAGACCGCAGACGGAAAGCAAGAAGAATTAGATAGCTGTTTCGACTTAATTTTGAGTCACTTAGTTTTGTTCTTGACCACGAAAACCATGAAAATTCTGAAATCTCTACAAACGCTCTTATGCTCATATTCAACATTCGTACACTTGCGACTAGCCACGCGATATAATGCCTAAAGATCGAGTGAGGAGATGAGATTGGTAGAGCTCAACCCTGTCTAGCTGCAGGCGGTACTTCAAACGCAGCTTTGGAAGATGGATGCAAAGTGTGGGGATCGGATCCTGTCTCAGTGGGGTTGAGGCTAAAATCTGCCGAGGAATCTGATGTTAAGGATTTACAGCTATCCTGCGCTTTCGGTTTCTAGTGGTGGTCTGGATAATGTCAATTCTGGATTTATACTATAAGTATCTGCTTTGCTTCTCGGTGAGCATCTAATACGTCAGTTCTAGTGTTACCAGTCAACCAAGCCGTAACTTTATTGACTTACCCTGAATCTTTGAAGAATGCCAATGTCAACTTTGAGAGAACGGTTTTCACTCCTGTAGCACCTGCCATTGTTTCATCCTGAAATGAAAGGAAGTGAATAATGAAATGTAAATCACACATTCTTTGAGGTTATCAAACGGTGAAGATAGTCTAAATTGTAGAACTGAACACCAATGAACAACACGTATTACAGGAAGTTGCGTCGCTAATCATTTTGGAAATGTTATCATACATGTTTTCAAATTTCAACACCAATTTATCAGTATGAGTCACTCTGTAGGATACGTCTTAAAGAGAAGACATGAAGCGGAATTCTCGACAACTTGGAAACAAACGAATTTAAGCAGTCAAATGATCATGTTCTGTTCATCAGTTGTTCGAAGAAACGTCTAAAAATATTCTACTGATTCAAATGAGACCTTTACATCATGAAACACATGGACTGACAATTGAGTAGTTGCTAGTATCCGTTTATCTAGTCCCTAGCGCCAATCGAATTCCAGTGATTACACTCAAGCGCTATTTTGCTGTGCTTCGAAAAATCATACAACTCAAAATAAGATTGTAGTCAATAGTTTCTCCAAACCCAAAAGTATGTGTCACCATCTAACTTATTCTTCCTGGCTAACAACACTGGTTGACTGAAAACAGATAACTACAATGATGAGTGGTGCATACAACTGGTTAATCAGTAATATTCACATCACATATAGTACTGTTGATGTTCTCTGAAGTATGTACAGTTGAAAATCGGTGATCATGGAAGTTGATAATGAGGGTACAGAATAACAACTTGAACTTGACACAGAAATTTCCGAAAATAATCAAGTTATCAATATGATTTCATTCATAAATACTTTGCGTAAGTTGACCTACAATGTAACACAATCAATTCTACATTTTCAAACATCAACAAATAATTTAAATAACAATTCCTTTGATTTTCAGATAATCACTAGAATTTTTCATTCGTTCAAATATATTGCATTTTATTGAACAACTGTAGAGTTAACTTATTTTCCATGAATTCTACATTCTATGTTTGTAGTGAATACATTGTGCAAATCAGGACGTAAATTCACAATGATTGGCAAATGAATATTAACAGATGAATGTAATTTATCGTCCTTCGTGTTGATTCATTTCTACCAATCGTCTTGCGATCTGGCTGATGGTCTTGTAGATTCATTTCACGTAGACTTTCCTTCAGTGTTACACAAATGGGAGCACTCGACAGAAGACAACACAACAAATCTTCATGCTGTCTCACATTTGTCAGAAAGGTGTAATGGTGCATCGAAACCCACTTTGATAGTCAGTTTCATTTAGGTTATATAAATAACCACTCAGAAAACATGTGCCAACCAGAAGGAAATCGGAATCCTGGATTTCTTGGGTAATGGCTTCAATCAGGTGAGAAAATATTTTCTACTGCAGTATGTCGGACCAAACTAACACATAATGCGAGTTACAGTTCAAACACCACATTGACACATGAATAGTTTCCATACAATTAAAGTGAATCTCGTTCAATCCATTCCAATCCGTGTGACAAGATCCAGTTAATGTCTTTGTAAGTACGTAGGTGAAGCAATCACATTCAGTCTAATTTTGCGGTTGTAATTACAAAATTCAGTTGTCTCACACAGCTAGACTTCACTAAACAATAATATACATCATCCTCATAAATCGACTCCTTTCTAACCAAAACTTCTCCGTGTTTCACACTTTAAAAGGAATCGGACGAGTAGCATTTCTGAAACATACTGTGAGGCGTTAGTAACGGAATGACCAAGAAACAATAACAGAATAATATCTCTTTTCAGAAGAACCAAAAGTTTACTTACGCCAACTGTCCGTTTTTCAAAGTGTGAACCAGCCGTTCCTTCTCCACCTTCGTTCTCTATGTCGATTCCATCCAGTTGAGGGCAATTATAATGTTTGCGTCCCTCCGCCTAAGAATGGATACACGCGTTGTGAGTAGGAAATAATTCGTCATCAAGTCAAATAGCACTTTGCATGTAAATCAACCATTTGCTTTCATAGTTTGCCAATGTATCTACTGTGCGACTTAGAACCTATCACAGGGAGTTCCATAAACCACTTCTCACTAATTCGGAAATTAGAACACAAACTGTCAAACGGACTATTCTCTTCAGTCGTTCTACCAGAAAATGTATTTTTGTGCATGAAGCATTAGTTTTAGGCTGCCAGTGTCTGCTTATCAAATATTGTGAATATAAATATAAGTCAAACGTCGTACCACTCAAATAGCAGTATTTTCATCGATAGTACTACCATGCGTGCGCATATGTAAAATAACATTGTAAACATTTAACACTTTTACTAATAGACGGAACTAACGCAAAACCATTCAGTGTGTGCCGTTAACGAACATAAATTTACATCGTACTGTCCATTAACATAACACAAATCTTACCAGTAACTCCGGGGTAACAAATGATACGAAAGATTTTGTAAAGTATCCAGCAGCTGTAACCCAAGGACGATCGATGAGTCTGACAGTATTTTCGCTGAAATGTAAATCAATCACCAGAGTTTAGAAAGAAAATGTGGGGACCTATGACTGACTGCAACTTAATCAGACAAAGTAAATAGGCTTAATTCATCAGATATTCGAATTGAAAGTCGTTATTTTGCCAATCACAAGTTTAAAACATCGTTCCGTCCAAAGAATATGAAGAGCATTTGTAGATAAGTGATGTCGACTTGTTGTTTTTAAAGTCTGACATGTAAGTATCACTACCATATCGCTCTGCACTTGTAAATATCAGCATGTCGAGAAAAACTTATTTACTACCCGCTCATAAATTGGATACATCAAAATGTTGTTCAAAACGGACCATCAATCAACGTCGCCTCTTAAATCACATAGGAGTTGAAATGCTTGTGACAGAATTTCGATTGAGAGACTATGAAACTGTAATTCAGGGATTGAAATTTATTTATCCCCTTGAAACGTTTCACATCAAACTTAATAACCTGATAAAGGCTTTTAAAATTGTTCTATTTACCAAGTTTTATTCATGGTAATTCTACCTCATGATTTTGAACAACCAGAGATTTCTCTTGAGTTTGTGAAGACACTTGTATTTGTAGAACTGAAAAAGTATTCATAAATTTATTGGTTTGTGTCATTCTCAGAAGAATCCTTTCTGAAAACACATTGTTTGACTTCAGTGTTACGACTACCGATTTGCTAATTCTAAAACTCCTGCACACTTGCTACATGAAACATGAGTAGATGGCTGGTTTGTAGAAATAAATGAACGTATTTCAACTAACTCAATGGTCAGAATGCAACAGACTGCATTGTACTCGACTCAACACGCTATAAAATGGATAAGATTGTGAAACGTAGCAGAAACATCAACAAAGAAACTACATGTAATAAGGTAAACACAGAATCACTGTCACAAGAAAACAAATCACCTTGGTTGATACATTTGCTCACGATTCAATGGTGGTTTTCCGGTTTTCGGATCTCTCTGCGTCAATGGTCTGCCATTCTGATCTCGCATCAAGGCGAAATTCGACCTCGAGAATCCCTGAAATGTACAATTTCTCAATTTCAGCAAGGGTATAATGTATTTGAGGACAAGCGATTTTCAATAGTGTAACTTAACGTAACAAGGTCATCTTATATGTTACATTACGACTTGTAATTGAATGAATTAGAACATAAGAATAAGGAGAAACACGACATCAAATGACTGGTGAAATGTTCCAAATGATAATGCCGATTCTTTCCAACTATCTGATCGTAAAAATGCGAGCATTTTGTCAAACAACAGCGACAGTCTAATTTCATGTTACCATAATTCCGTAAGAGCAGAGAGTCTGATGTTATGATGACAAGCAGAACTAGCACGCGATTTCTGAGGAATGTTCAGTATTGATGTGATGTTGAGACTATGGTTCGGTGAAAGATATCATTGATATTCTATTAGGAATGTGCACAAAATTTGAACATGTAGACTACTTTCATCAAGTAGAAACGACTAAATATGCTTGAAATAAAATTTGGTACTTGTTGGCTTTCCATTTAATCGCAGCGATTCTGAATGCAACTTCAACAAATCAACTCTCATCAAAATTTAAACTCACCATAGCATGAGCCAGTTCGTGTATAGCTGTTCCAACCAACATAGTTTTCCCAGGTTCTTCTACTTCCATCTTCTGTGGACAGAAGTTGATCGCTCCCATAATTGGTCTGGAATCGAATTACAAATTCAACTTCTATATGACATGTAACTAGAATGTGTCGCTTATGCCAATAGATCTGATAGTATCACATTATTTTTTTCCATTTAGTTCAATTAACATTCTGAAGAAGCCAGTCAGTATCCTGTAGTGGAATGCTTTTACGAATAGAACACAATTGGTGAAATGGAAACATCTATTATTGTGCAAAATTGTAACTGCCTTAGTTTAACTGTACTAAAAACCGTTATTTACGCGCAACTTGCTGTTTGTGTTGCTGCTCTTACTTCGCCACCTTTCTTGGTGTAATTTCGGTGTTCTTCCGACACCACGAAATCACCAACAAATATATTCTTTACCCTGGATTTATTTGTCAGGTAATTATTATTTAGTGGTGATCATAGTCAACCGCGACTCGACTCACTCACTAAAATCTCACAAGAGAATATGTTTGTATTTAAAATGAACGTGAGTCTGTGAATATTTATATTACATGTCCTATCAGCTCTGTCGATGGATTTCTATTTTCTCGACGCTTATAAATTTGAATAGCAGTGATCGACCTTCCACTTGCTAGCTTGTCCATTCACAACACTTTCGAACAAAATCAAATTATTCTGCTAATCAATAGAGGTATTAGGGATAGTTTTTTGTTATCCGTGTTGAAAACCGTCTGTTCTTATTTATTTTGAGGACTAATACGATGGGAAACTATTTGCCGATTTCAGAAACAAGCTCACTGTATCCCAATCTAAACACACAACGAACTGAATAATTACTAACCTGTCAGTTGTGGGATGCATTTCACACGGACCAGCATAGGCCAATGTTGTACCGGATAAACAAGCTTTTACATTATCACTTGAGATGAAAAGAACGTATTCATTTGGTGCGAATCCTTGACCATCTTTGTAAACATCCCGTATGGGTCCACTGCTGCTTCCTAAGGCGCATCCCTGTTGATTAAAGTCAAGAGAAAATACAAGTATTTGAACAGCTAACATGTACAATAAAAAATTCATTGTGTGACTCCAAATAAAATTAACTGCACTACATTTCCTGCACTACTGCTCAATGATATGCTCATCAAGAAAGCAATTGTGTTTTCGCTTCAGTCAGTTGATTGATTCTCACACTTACAATTCTAATACGATGTTGTTTTCAATGCCAGTTTCTATTTTGGTTCGGTTCGTTTGTGTTGATCGAACTTCTAATTTCAGTGTGGACGTGATAACCTATCATCTTCATGGGTACGCTCAATCAATAGTGACATGGAGCTAACAGCAGATGAACTGTCAGATAATCACAATATTCGAAATCATTTTTCCGCATTGTGGTTTATGATGGAACACCTAGATCGATAGCTGCTCATCATAAATAAACAAATTTAATTGAGTTGTCTTAGAACATTTCCGCTATCACTGTTAGATCTTCCACATATTTCTGCCTATCAGCTTTAATGCTCCTCTTCGCATGCCTGCTCGCTTCTGCGTAGTCTTTCTGTGCC